TTTTGGGAAGAATGTATTGCACTTTACTTCGGCTTCATATTTTGCTGGCAAGTACATAGTACTGAAGAAGTTTTGCGTTTTTTGTTTCAAGTGGAAAAAAACAAGTTTTCAATGTGTAAAATTCAAAATGTTCTGCTCTATGGAGTGTTCACAGTAAGATTCATTATTAAAAAATAGCATCATTAGCATAAATGCACACATATAAAATGCATAAATGCATAATATATGAGTTGTCATTTCTGTAAACTACTTCTAAGACTGTTACGCTTCGCATGCTAAGTGGGATAATGAAATGAGTCATCAATTTATCTTTATGTACTTATCTTGACCTCCCACTTGCGTAACAGTTTATAAATCCGTTATATTTACAAAATAGTGTGAGCAACACAAGGAGACATAATTGGTTATTGTGACAATAATTGGGATCAAGCATCCAAAATTGTGTAAAAATACATCATAGATGTACAACAAAACTGAATGAAAAAATAAAAGAAGAATGTGTCTGAGGATACGAATGCCCCCGCTCAAGATTTGCAATTTTCCAAGTTAAAAAGGGAAATAACTCTAGAACGGTAAATGACTCACAACCCAAATTCAAACTCTGTCTGCATGTTGTAGTTCTTAGCATTGTGTAGGAGTTTCATAACATTTGGATGAGACAAACTTAAGTTAGAGTGCGGAAACAAAAAAAAGCAATTTTCAAAGTTATAAAGGGGCATTACTCTAGAACGGTAAATGACTCACTGCCCAAATTCGAACTCTGTCTGCTAGCTTTGGTTCTTAGCATTGTGTATGAGTTTAATTAAACTTGCATGAGGCAAACTTAAGTTGGAGTCGGAAACGAAAATGGGACGGACGGAAAGACGGCTGGTGCATAAAAATCCAAAATAATCCTACAATTAAATCTAAAAATGACCGCTAGCAAAAAAAAAATTAGTAGTTGATTGTACAGTATAGTCAAACATATGACATATGCATACTTTCTAGATAAAGCACAAATTAAGTAAAATATAAATACAAAGGTAAAAAAATGAAAATAACGCTATAAACATTTTTACGCGTCCGAATCGCACATCTTGAACCACCCGCAACAGGAAAACCCAAAGCCCGAAAGTTGGATGCACAAATACCGAGCCACGCAGAGAGTCATACGACCAAACGGAACATAATAGTATAAAGACAAATAAAGCGAGAACTGCAAAGAAAATAAATGATACACAACGTCAGCACCTAGAATCTATTACTCAGGACAAACCTGTATTATTTGTGAAGTTGGCACTGAATATATATCTATTAGGTCTTGGTACCTTCCGATGAACTTTTTGAGAAAGATGACGAACAAACAATTGCAAAAACCGAGAAAAGGTCATTTAAGGGCAATACCTCCTATAAGGAGTCGACTGACGATTTCGGCTATTTTGAAGCTCGTCCTGCGGATAATTTTTGCCGCACACTTTCTCGTTATCTATTATAAATTTCAAGACAATAGTCATCGCAAAAATTGGTAAAAAAATGTCATTTAAAGGCAACATTTCCTATAAGGAGTCGTCTGACAGTTTTGATCAAAATAAACAGTAGGTAAATCATAACATTGTAAACATTTATGTTCCTTCAGATGTTCTCTATCTATATAGGTATACTAGGTAAAAGGTAAAAGACAAAACTTGAGTTTCACTGTTTTTTTAGGGATTATAGAACCATATTTCAAATAGTTACTCTAAGAAGATAAATTTTTATTCCAATTGGCACAGTAATTACAGAGGAAAATATTTTTACAAAAGTTAACAGACGACGACAGACGAGAAGTGGTGAAAAGCTCACTTGACCTGTGGGAGATTATGCCATGTGCTGATGATGGAATGACGAAAGGACATACATTGAGGGTTAACTGTTTGAAAACGAAGGTGTTAATCCAGGGTATCCAAAAGTGGACATGTTTAAATTTTTACCAATAATCTATAAAAAAAATTGTCACGAATGTTGTTTACTGTAATGAACGCACCGTCACAATATGAAACCGATTCAAGTTTCAAAAAAGTTCAACAATAACAACTGCATACAATGCTATCACTATCCACATCGAAATCAGGCGTTCGCCTTCAGTATTTAACCATGTATTGTTCTTTTGAATTCTTCGTTATCTGTGTGTTAAAACTTGTATATCGTAAATATCGTAAATCATTGAAAAACAACCAAAAATCCGCGACAAAGATTATCTATTTAGCTACAATCTATTTTAGCTCGAATTATTATCTTTCAGCTTTATTCGAAGAAATGATGATATAAGGTCAGTCCTATGGAAACAGTAGATGTTTACTTCATTGAAATGAATATAACACGGAAAGAAATGAAAAGTAAAGGAAAGCCCATAAACTACGTTACAGCATTCAACGTCATATAGTAATCTAAAAGGCACTCCATTCATTGTCATTTTTTTATTATTATTATTATTCAATCTTATGTATTTATTATATTCTTTATTTTTTCGGGGGGATAACAAAAGTGTGTTATAAGAGAAGAGTACATCGTACAAGTTATCTGACCCTTGCCATTCTTCGTCAGTTTAGCGGGGTTATGTTTCCAAAGGTTCGGAATTTAATCAATGATTTAGCATTTCTCAACTCAGCGTCATCTTTTTAATAAGCTTTGGATTTTCATATAGTTTGGCCTCGAGCATCACTGAAGAGACATCTATTGTCGAAATGCGCATTTGGTGCAGAAAAATTGATACCGTTAATGTTATTCTCAACCATCGGATAACTTCAGAATTATTTAGACTGTTCTTTTCGCAATTTAGGAAAATGGTTTGGAGTCAATACAAAATAAAATTTCGTAATTATCGGAAAAGCTTAACATTTCTAACTGTTTAAAATACTATATCTTTTTCACGAAGGATATCTATGTGCACATGACTTTTTAAAACATCAAGTTACTGCAAGTACTGACGTTTTCAGTCGATTTTAATAGTTTGTGCTACACTACTGCCCCAGATTAGAGGTGAGTTGATCGATCACACACATGTTTACTTCCACCACATTCTGTATGTGAATATCCCTATAGCCTGTAATTAAGTGGGTGTCGTTGGTTTCTGTCTGCCATACTTATTATAAACATGGCCGTCGGTTTTCTTTTTTGAATTTTTTCACATTAAGTCATGCCGGTCCTTTTAGTTTTTAACGTTGTTGAAGACCCGGTACAGTTGTTTGTATCCTTGGTGTCTCGTGGTTTGATGTCTAAATGGCAAGCATACCACATCTCCTTTTTCTAATATCCAATAAAAACCAATACGGGAAAAGAACTTAAATCTATAATTATCTTATAATAAATCACATTAATATGACCAGAACATTATTTTGTCAAAACTTTTGGGAAATCAATTTTAAAGAGAAACTGTTTGTCTCCACAATTATTAGCGCCATAAAATTTCTAAATATGTACAGCTAAATGTTCATTCAAAAACATTAATTTATCAGTTTCTGCCAAAAGCGCAAAAATGTAAAAAAAAATCGTTAAGCGCAAAAACTGCTGTAAGGTGTTAACTAATGATTTCGACCAAGTTGACTTACTTGTATATCTTGCCATGATGACTTGTAGAGTTTAAAATTTTTCTCTTTCTTTTATAAATTTCGAGATTATAGCCCAAAACGAAAAATGGTTTAAAATCGTCGGATAAAGCATAATTATTATAAGTAGTCGACTGACCATTCCGGCCATCTGACTTATTTATAAATCTCCTCTTGTTGATCTTTTTTTCAATGTATAGTGTCTCTCTATCTAAAAATGGTTTCAAGATAATAGACAAAAACGCAAAAAAAATATTGGTAAAAATCGCCATTCAAGTGCATTAACTCTCATAGAAGTCGACCGACGATTTCCCTCGTGTTGACTTATAACCATATCCTATTTTGCTGAGCATTTGTACTGTTTACAGTTTCTCTTTATCTACTACATGGTTTTACAAAAAACGCGAATTATGGACAATAACGCCTATAAGGAGTCAACGGACGATTTCAGCCGTGTTTGACTTATTTGTAGATCTTTCTTGTTGACCAATTATGAAATATAAAGTTTCTCTCTATCTATTATAGTTTTCAAGATAATACAATAGCTAAAAACTCAAAAACGGTAAACATCGTCATTTAAGGGCGATAACTCATAAAAGGAGTCTTTACGGCAGCTCTGTTCAAAATGGACAGTATGTAGATCTTGACATTCTAGTCATTGTTGCCTTGACAGATGCCGGTCTCCATCTAAAGAGTTTTAAGATAATACACAATACTTGCATTGTACCCCTATGTTTTATTTCTAGCCATGGCGGCGATGTGTGTTGGTCGTCGGGTTCATCGAATACGTTTTTAAACTAGATTTTTAAAGTATGATTGTAACCAAGTTTTGTTGCAATTGGCCTAGATGTTTCAGAGGAGATGATTTTTTTTATAAAAGTGAACGAACGGACGACGTCACGCTGTCCGTTTGGAATAGGTGAGCTAATAAAGGGTTTTAAAAGCCTGTGGAATAGAATTTTTGACAATTCTCCGCTTCGACACCTCTCGATGATTGGCATTTGCAACCTGGTACTATATCGCAGGTTTGTCTTATGTTGAGCATTTGGTTTGAGACTGGGAAGATTTGCAAACGTGTATTATATGAATTATGTATAATATATACTAGTAACTGGACATGGAACAAAATTAAGGAAGTCTTTTAAATACAAATGTAAACAGAAAAGAGGCCAGTGAAAATCAATATTCAGTTACTTATTTCGCTGGTGAATGTAGTTTCTGTAGTGATACGAAATTCTACATCATCTGATCTTAATAATCACCTGGAAAGTACAACTTTATTATCTGGAATTTAACGACGTCTACAGATCTCTAAAAGACAAAAAAGGGGGAGGTCTTGAATAGTTCAACTATTTCAAAAAACCTATTTTCGCTCGAATACTTTTGAAAGGTTATTGACTTCATTCACCTATAAACCAACTTAGAGCAATTACATACCTGAAAATTAAGAGGAACTATTCAATCCTCTAGTCAGATCATATGTCTTGTATTCTGACGGATAATATGTATAATGTTTGGTACGTTATCTTTGTATCAGTATCGTACATAATAACAACAAACGTTTTCAGCTATTTTTATACATAAGTGCATAATCTATAAATATAACTTGTATCCACTACGTCACACAGCTTTTGTTTCATTTGTCCTATTATTCGAATATCCCAGATGAAATGAAATTATAACCACCTTATATAATATATCAGCTTTATTGCTGATGATAAAGACTTCTATGGCGCTGAATCAAGGTCAAAATTACTTATTTACGTATTTACATAATTCGATTTACGTATATACAAAAATAATTAAGTATAGAATAGAATAGAAACGAATAGAATAGAATAGAATAGAATAGAATAGAATAGAATAGAATAGAATAGAATAGAATAGAATAGAATAGAATAAAATAATAATTCACTAAGTTTTTCACAAGACTTACATAAATAGGAAATCTACTCAATTCAGATAGTACAGCGAGATTGCTGCTCTTTCGAGGCTCTTTCAAAATTTTTTTGTTATTTTCATGTGTAATTTATCTGGTACAAGATATAAATAAATTTTATGTAGGTGTATACCATGACGCTTATTTCTATATATTTAAATTGATGTTGAAATTTGAAGTTAATTGTTTTTCTTATCACTTGGCGTCCGTCGTCGTCGTCGTCCGTCGTTCAGCAAGACAAGTTCTACAAATAAATCTGCATGGTCGAAATCGTCAGTCGACTCCTTATTAGAGTTATTGCCCTTTAATGACCATTTTTATCAATTTTTTGCGTTTTTGCCTTATATCTTAAAAATTATAATAGATAGATAGAAACTTAAATAAGCAAAAATTATCAGCAAGACAAGATATAAAATTAAAACAATATCGAGGAAATCGTCCGACGACTCCTTATTGGAGTTGTTGCCCTTCAATGACGATTTTTACCTCTTTTTTTTCCGTTTTGCCTTACATGATAAAAATAAGAATAGATAAATAGACACTTTAAATCACAAAAATGATCAGCAAGACAAGACCTGCTAACAAGTCAAATTTTGCCGATATAGTTAGTAGACTGTCACTTTTTATAGGAGTGATTGCCCTTAAATGAGGATTTTTTTTTACCCTCTTTTGTGTTTTGAGCAAAAACTAAAGAAGATAGAGAGAAACTAAATAGACTAAATGATCAGTTAAGTAAGACCAACAAAACAGAGATTTTTGTCATGAATTCTATTCTCGTCTACAATGTTGGAGAGTGTCCTTTGTTGAATATGCACATAGACCAAGGTGAGCGACACAGACTCTTAGAGCCTCTAGTTACACATGTTGTGTTTGTTTTTGGGATAGCATATATCTAAGATTATATATTGAATCTAGACATATAATTACGGACGAGAAAAGACGTTACAATATTTTTAAATTGGCCGAATGGTCTAGGACACTGGAGACAGTGCAGAAGGTGTTGACACGATGTCACACAGAAGCAGGGGTTCGAAAAAGCCTAATTGGCCGAATGGTCTAGGACACTGGATACAGTGCAGGAGGTGTTGACACGATGTCGCACAGAAGCAGGGGTTCGATCGATCGAGAGAGAGAGAGAGAGAGAGAGAGAGAGAGAGAGAGAGAGAGAGAGAGAGAGAGAGAAATTGGCAGCGATATTTATAATCACACTCAAATGAAATAGTGACACTTAGAACACAAATACTGGAATTTCACAAAAGAAAAGTAAAGCGACATATATTTATACAATACAATATCTATCAGATATGTTAGTGTCTATCTACTTGCGTTAACTACATTTCAGTTTTAAGCAGAACATAAAGGAGATTCTGGAAGGGTGTCCTTCATTTCTGTATTCTTTTAAAACATTTCAGATAATTTTCTCTTTTTATTCATATATTTTGACCATTATTCTCTATTCTTTATATTTCAGCACCCCGATATTCTCTATTATTAATTTTTTGGGGATCCATTTTTGTCTATCCTTTAGGTTTTAGCCCTTCATTCTGCACTTTTTGCCCATTGTTCTCTAATCTGTAAACCCCATCCAGATCCTCATAAAGTGATCTTTTTAATGTAATTTCTTTTTTATTAAATGAGTGTATATGAAAAATGATTCGACATGTTGTTGAATAAGCATGGGGTTTATCTCAGTTACATTATATATAAACTAGACCGCGGGTCCGTGACTGAATTAAAGTATCTAATTATGTATCCCGGTCATTATCCGGACAAATGGTCAGAAAGTTACCTTTGCCCAATTTTTAAATCAGGGGACCCAAAGCAACCTGAAAATTATAGAGGTATAGCCATTAATAGTAGTATTGGCAAACTATTTAACATTATTCTTAATATTAGATTTGAAAAATTGCTTTCTGACAATGGTATAATCCATGAAACCCATATAGGTCTTAGGAGGGGACAGCGAACATCGGATCACATTTGTGTTCTTAAATGTATAATCAATAAATACCTTCATTCATTCATTCATTCATTCATTCATGTCTTTATTTCCTCATAATTGAGATATAATGAATACACAAAATTAACTAAATATCACACAACAAAAAGAATAAACGAAATAGGAACAGAACAAAAAAGTTTTTTTTTACATATACAGAAAAATATAAACTTTAGTCATTCGGCATAAAGCCTGCTTCATAGATTTTCGTAAGGCATTTGACACTGTTATACATGCTGGTATTATGTTTAAGTTATTGGAATATAATGTGAATGGCTATTATTACAATATATTGAATTCTATGTATAAATCTGATAAATTATGTATCAAGAAAGATCAGAAAATGACCAGGCTGTTCACATCTGGAGTCGGTGTAAGACAAGGGCATGTACTCAGTCCCAACCTATTTAATGTGTTTATAATCGAAATATCCTCTTTATTAGAAGAAAATACTGAATATCTTAAACTGAATAACAAAAAAATTCCTTGTCTGTTATATGCTGATGACTTGGTTTTAATCTCAGATACAAAAGAGGGTCTCCAAAACAAACTAAACATTCTTTATAAATATTGTGAAAAATGGTGCCTACAGATAAATGTGAAAATCATCAACACCATCAGTTAGTAGTCTTCTTCATATATTTGACCATACTATAAAACCCATAATCCTATATGTCTGTGAAAATTGGGGTTTAATAAATATAACTAAAAAAAGGGAAAACCTTTCACTGTATGAAATTTTCAAAGACTGGGAACATGAAAAGTTAAATGTTAAATTTTGTAAATACATATTAGGTGTTTCAAAGCAGAGCTCAAATATGTCAGTTATATCAGAGCTTGGAAGGTTCCCCCTATATGTTGATGTTATAACACATATGTTTATGTACTGGTTTAGACTAGAACACTCACCGAGTGACTTATTAAAAAATGCGTATCATGAATATAAAAATGGGGATCATAAAGACAACTCCTGGTACCCTAATGTTCAATTATTCAGCAAAAAGTTAAACATTAACCTTTCAATTTGCAAAAATCTTAGTAAAACCAAATTCAAAGTACTAATAAAAAAACGACTAAAAGATGATTTCCTTAAATTCTGGAAAAGTATAAATGATTCTACACCTGATAAACAAGGAAGATTAGACACTTTCTTTAAATTTAAGTCTACATTCCAGTTTGAAAAATATTTAGAAATAAGAAATAAAGATAATTGGTCAATGCTATCTAAATTTAGAATAAGTAATCACTCTTTACGAGTAGAAACTGGAAGGCATGAGAGAAGATACAACTCTCTTGAAAACTACAACTGTTACCCAGATGTGAACGGCTTTGTCAGTTCTGTAATTTAAACCAAGAAGAGGACGAAGCACATTTTTTTTACTTCAATGTTCTAAATTGTAACCATAGGAGAGTAACTTTACTATCTCAGATTGATAACAAATTCCCCAATGTAAAATATCTAAATAAAAATCACCTGTTTTTATGGATAATGATAAACGAAGACAACACATTTTTATCTTTATTATGTGAATTTTTAAAGCTTAACTTTGCAGAAAGAAAACAGCATAATTGTGCTCAATCATAAATTATAACCTCTACCTGGCAAAAAGAAATTTCAACAATCAGAGTTATCTCTCTTTATTCACTTTCTGAACTTGTATGATTTATCATGACTCATATGATTAATGACTTTTGTGTATGTTCTAATGTACATAGATTATATCTAATTAATATAATCAGAGCGAGCGGAGTGAGAAAGATTGGTATGAAAGTGTGAATGATCGTGTTAAATTTTGTAATGCCTGAAAGGGCCCTAGCTGTGATTAGGAAATAAAGAATTTGAATTTGAATTTATAAGCCTTATTTTTAATTTGGATTTTTAGTATTGATATTGTCATATGATAAGGTCATGTTGATTATAAGAGGCACGGTTTTCTCTACTTTCAAAATCTTTCTGTTTGAACCCGTTGACCTGGAACTTATCAATTATTTGTAATATTAATTATTTGGAAAACAAAAGGGCCTGAAGTGGTGTAATTTGTAATCAACAGCATTGTCCTATATTATATATCTTATTGAAAGCACAAAGCCAGATATAATTTTTGGAACTGAAACCTGGCTTGATTCATCAATAAAAGACTCGCAATATTTTCCAGATGGGTACAATATTTACAGAAATGACAGAAACTTAAGTGGAGGGGGAGTACTCATTGCCGTCAAAGACACATACATCACTTCATCAGTACCAGCGGTCCTTTTCAAAAAAATCTTAAGAGTAAAAATACTCATAAGTCATACACATTTCAGTATAACTTACGATCAATTTTAATCGTAAGATTTTTTGTGAAAAGTGTCGCAGAACTTCAAACTGATTGTGAAATTGTTTGGTGCAAGATGGAAATTGTCGGGCATAAAACTGTCTATCTATCTAGTTACTACAACCCCAAAACATCAAACGAAAAGGGATATAATGAATATGGAATAAGCATTGAAAGAGCCAGTAAAATACGAAATGCATTCATTATATCAGCTGGTGATTTCAACCTACCAGGCTGGGATTGGACTAACAAAGAGATAAAGATGCACACCCAATGTGCAACAAATCATGAAAAATTTGCTGATATATTGGATGATAATGGGATGGCACAGCTTGTAAATAAACCAACCAGAGGACCCAATACTCTTGATCTTGTTGTAACAAATCATCCTGAAAGCTTCATGAGAGTTGAAACCTTACTTGGGCTCTCAGACCATGAA